GTTCGAAACACGCCCCATAATCACAGCTCTATGGAGCAGTATCAGACTCATATTCTGACTAGAATTGAGTCGGACTACGTCAGGCTAAGTCAGAAGGCCCAGTGGCGCGCAATGTGTAGCCCACTTCTGTCAGTGTGCCCCAAGGCAGCTGTGGCTACAGTGTAACATCCCCACCGAGAACTGAATGTGGTGTGAAGCTCTTTGGAGTCAGTTGACTGAAAAGGCACTCACCATATTTCAAATACCTTATAGTTCTTCAACAGTGCTACAAACTGGGCATTAATTTTCTTTTGGTACGAGGTCCAAAATGTGATTAGGAAAGGTAGCTTTGGACAGATAGGCCCAACTGGAACCGGTTCCACAGCAGGGTTTAGGTTTATCCGTCTCCTCCTTGCAAATTTGTCTAAAGTCCACATAAAAGATCAAATCAGGAAAATGTATCTATGCTGGGTTTATAGGGAAAAACCTCTGTTTTAGTTATGATTTAGTTATACAACAAACAAATACAAAATGATAAAACATACATTGAGTTATAATTCTGCAGCTCAGAGTGGAATAATATTCCAACATTCGAGGCTGGTTGTCATCCTATATGTTGTTAAACTGCAGACAGGTAATGTTTATTCAGTCTGATTCATAACAGGGAAATCCTCGTGCTGCCAAAGCACAACAGAGATATCATCATGTTTATCTAATCCTCCCCAAAGCTCAAAATGTTTCTGGTCTGCCTGTTGACATTTGAAAACCAACAGAAAGTTTCCCTCTTTGGACTTTTGGAATCTCCCACATTTGCATGTTTTTATTTTTATTTCTTGATTTAGTTTTTTTTGTCACATTTAAAAGTTTACATTTCTTTTTTTTTAACAATCCTAATTTATGATTGAATTGAATTCAAATCATCAGATAAAGGCACACTTAATCACAAGACACAAAGTTAGATGTGCTTTTCCTGTGCTGAGGTTTTTTGATATCTCAAACTGTGCTCTGTCAAGGATAAAGTGTGAAATATGCTTTTTTTCCCCTCTCTTCCCCAATGTGAAGCACGTGACACTTGCATCTGTGTATCTCCCCTGAGAGCAGGTTAAAGCTGCGTTCTCCTCAGTCTAGTTGCGAGCGATCTTCCATTTCCCATGACAACCGATGGTAAATATTTTTTCCTTTGCTTCATCCTCCCACCCCTGCAGCCTCTCCGTTTCCACATTTTGCAGGGATGTCTGGTCTTGCAGCGTGTTGTGGAGCATGCCTCCTGTGCATAGCATCGCGTAGTCCTATTAGCTGCTCCGGTGTGCAACCAATGAGTTTGGAGTCGCGATTTGATTCTCCCTTTGCAGAATCAAATAGTGCTGAAAGTAGGAGAAAGCTCATCACTATAGTCTCACAAGTTGACTTAATCTGTGCTCATATTTTCAGAATATCTTATACTTACCCCTTACAAATCCCATTCCCTAACCCCTAAACCCAAATAAACAGTAGTATACATGTAACCATACACTTCTAAAGCTACCAAAGTAACTTTTTAGGCTAAATTTCAATTTCTTTTTTTGTTGTAAGTCATGTGTTACACTGTCCGCAACCTGTCATTTACATGTTGCATCAAATATTGATGTGTTGAACTGTGATGTGGCTTCTAGACACTCACTAGGTCTTGGCGTGACCAGATGCAGCATGAAAGAGTCCAGACTCCAGGACGAGGCACCTGCCTCACTGTACATGACACCTTATCCCTCGATGACATCGTCTACATGTAGGCTTCTGGACCTCTCCTTGTTTGACCCATCAGGCTTGGCCATTGGTTCTGCACACATAAAACCTTCGAAATGCACATAGGGTGTAGTTTACCTGGGTGCTTATTAAATAAAATTGCTTGTATAAGTACTTATTCTCTCGGTGGATTCTTTATCCTGCCAACAAATCCCTACAGTCTAAAGCAAGTCAATTACTTGGTGAAATCTGCTGGATTTCCTTGGTTTGAGAATGTTAACAATTTAATTAACAAACTCAACTTTACTGCATTGTTTGGTATCTAGGAGCTTATGTGATGGATGTACACGACTTGGAATCTGTCTGAATGGATTAAACAGATTCTCTAAAGCAATGGTTCCCAGACCTTTCTTGCTGGACTTCCTTTGATTTGCATTGATTTGTGCTTTCTCAGGTTTTGTCTAAAACTGTGTAAAATAGTTCCACCCTTTAGGAATTATGATCCTGTTTAAATACTTCAATTCGGGTTTCTGTTGTTTTCTTTTGATGAAAGAGGATGTATAAATAACTGGATTTTGTGAAGTTCTTTTCCAGACACTGACATTAGGAATGACATAACATGCAGGGTTTCACTGTGTAATTTGCTACAAAAATGATGCTATAAAAAGCAGAAACTTAAAACCTTGATTTATTTCAGAACCCAGAAAAAGATGGTATAAAAAATACAGTCAGACAAAACCCAGTACCAGAGATGCTGTACAGACCCAACAGGATATGAACTTTGTAGTTTTTCTGTCTCTTATCTTCTCTAAAAGGTCAGATTTAAAGTAAAGCAATTTCTAAATGTGATGACTGAGGAGCAGTTAAATTAAATGGCAACGCTGTTTTCGATGCTTGAAGGACAAAGGTATGTATATGGTAGCTCCAGGTGCCTGTTGCGCTCTGTGATATCATCATTAATGGCCTTGAGTTCTGCCTGGACCTTCTCCACCAGCCTGTGGTGGGCGTCAACTCTGAAGATGGTCTCCCTATAGTGAGACAGAGGAATCTGTAGAGGGAGACACATTGCTAAAGTTTAAAACAGAGAACAGTTTCGTATTATGGTATTTAAATGCATGATTTGACATTTTTAAAAGATAAATGTGTTTTAAAATATTCCCAGTCTGATTCCTGCAGAGCAAATGAAAAATGTTCTGAGGTGTGTTTGTTTTCTTCTCCAATGGAGAGTGCAGTTGGGAGACTCACAAAGTCAACCCCGGGCTGTGACAACATGGTCAGCGCCATCAGGACTCGATGGGCGGAGTTAATATCCGGCAGAAAGGACAGGATATCCTGCTCTGTGATGGCGCCTTTAACCTGTGGAGGAGGACGCATCATGGAGGCTGGACAGTTGGGGATCCAGAGAGCAAACTCCAGCTGCAGAGGCAGAGATCACAGAGCGTCTCTAAAGCTATAACAATTGTTTAAAGTGGGGAAAAAAAAGTTTAACTCTACAAAGATAAGAAAAACATTCTATTTCCTTTTTTCTCAATCAAAAAATTTTAAAGCCATTTTTTATGATTAGTCAGCAGAAAAGCTGTTTTGATATCCATTTAAGTTTATATCTGCTTATCTTGCTAGCTCAGAGATGATTAGCGTCACACACATCCCCAAAGCAAGCTAAAGCTTGGTTTATACTCGTGGCTTCAAACAGGGCGTGAGGGTGCGCGGCCAAAAGTGACACTGTCATGCCCTTCCCACACCGGGTGCGGGCCACTCGAGCAGCCTCGGGGTTAGGTCTGCGCAAAACTTTGCAGCCCTTATTGGGTCACCAAGCTGCACTAAAAGGGTCACTGTGCTGCCATTTGGTATGATTGATTTAATTTAGGATTCTGCCAAAAGTCCACATGCAATAAATTCTCCTAAGAGCAGCTTTACTTCATACAGACACCCATAAACTACTACTCACATTCATTTTTTACATGTTCTAAATTCAAATAGAGTACCACGGGATATATCAATAAATCAACCATATGAGTGCTTGTTCCTTCTCTGTGCGCGTAAGGTTTGATTTCCACAGGCCTGAGGCCTCCTTTTCCTCCCTCAGCCAAACTATGGACCTGTTTCTGCTGGTTTCAGGCAACTTTTGTTACTTTGAAGGCGTTAACCATCAGAGAAATCAACCCGCCTGTGATTGGCTACTTTTCAAGAACTCACGCCTCTTAAGGCTGTACTCTTCTTCTTACTAGCAAAGCAACTTCAGGCTTAACACTTCTCTTCAGGAGTTGAAAGTTGGAAAGTCAATTTATCATTAGATATAACTAGGTCTGGATGAATACTGGATTCCGATTGGCTGTAGAGTGTCCGTTAAAGAGTTATTGATCTTGGCACCGATTGCCGGATTATACGTTAATTTCTTCCACCTGCCTAGCTCCGCCCAGTTTTAATTTTCACTCATCAGATCCACCTGTTACAGTTCCTACTTAAACTGCTGTTCCCAGCCATCAGTGCCAGTTTATTCGAGCCATGTTTTAGAGTTCTCTAGCGTACTCAGTATGTTTCTGATTAAGTGATCCTGTCTAGTTTCCTCCCCTGGACTTCTGAGTGTTGCTTGCCTCTGTTCTGATCTGTTTTGCCTGACCTTACTTCGGATTGCTCTTTGGATTCTTCCCGCAAACGACCCTGTATCTGTCTCTTGACCCTATTTTGGATTTCTCTTCAGTACCTCTTCGGGTATCTGATCTTCTGGCTTGGACATCTGCTCCTGCATTGACACTGACTTTGGATTTTCTCTCCGGATACTTCTGCTCTTCTACATCTGCTGGCTTCTGCTTGTCAGTGTGCTCTGCTTTTCTCCTAGAACTTCTTGGTGGCTCCCACCACATGCTGTGAAGAAATCATCTGGCTGGGTTCCTCTCCTTCCTCTGGGCTCTGAGTGAACTTAAAAACCAGGTTAGTGACTCACATGCTTGCTTTTGTTCCCCGTCAGAGTTTCGTGGTCACTAACCTTAATTTCTAACTCTAAAGAGATTCCAGTCCCAGGTGAGAGCCATGGATTACTGAGCAGTAAATCATTTTTTTTTTATGTCACTTCTGTTCTCTCTGCCTGAATTCTGGGCCTTAAATTCTGAGTGATTACAGTTATAGAACATCTACAAAATGTTAGGAATCCAGTTTGTGTGGGTTGGGTTTTTGTGTTTTTCTCTCCCTCCACCACTAGGTGGTGCCCTGTTCTCGTTGGTCCTCCCCCACACCTGAAGCTGGTTGGCTCATTACTGAGGACTATTTGAGCGATGGACTGTCACTACCTCGATGCCAGAGTGTTTGTCAGTTTTGGGTACTCTAGCCAAGCTGAGATTAGCTGAGTCTAATTGAGTCTTTGTTTCACTGAGCCGAACTGTGGTTTTGTTTTTGTCTTTTGGCAGGGAGTCATCCTACAAGCTGGATGTTTTTGGCCTTCTACCCCTGGAAGGATTGTTTGAGTCTTACACTGAGCAGGGGATTAACCTCCACAAGTTCAGTTCAAGACCTCCTGGATTTCTGAGTGACAGTCTGCTCCATAGCTCCTCAGAACCCAACCAAGTCTAAACCTGTCCTCCCTCCGACGAGCACCTTCCTCTGGATAAACCCACACTGACTGGATCCTGGGAAGAAAGTTTTCTCCACTAACGTGAGTCCCATTTTCTATGTTTCTCCAAGTCATCATTCAAAGTTCTCACGGACCCTGAACTAACCGCTGATACTTCCCTTCCCTCTTCCAGTTCCGGATCACCAGTACACTGAGTTTCCTGAATCCAACCCCCGTTCACCTCCTCAATGAACTTGTTAAACTTTTACCCTGGATCTCTGAGTCGTTTATTGCATGTGGGTCAGATCTCTTAAGAAAATCATGACACAAAAAGTTCAGGTCAAATAGCCAGATAGTTTCTACAAGCTCAAATGTTAGGAAAGCACTAGGTAATCAAACCACACGTGTGCAGAGAAGGAACAAGCACTTGTGTGTCGTCTATTGGGGCCCCATGGGACTCTATACAGACATGTAACATGTCAAAATGCACATGAGGAGTAGTTGGTATGAGCGTTGGTTTCAAGTAAAGCTGCTCATAGGAGTTTTTATGGACTTTTGGCAGAATCATTACATCATATTAATTGATCAGCAGACAAACATTTGACAGAATAAAATGTAACTTAAGTTGTTGAAGTCCAGCTGAACCTCTATCTTGAGCAGATTCTAGGACATTTAATATAAAAACAACTTTTCATCTGACTTAGTTGAGCTGGTTTACGATGGTGCCTCCTACCCACCTGACCTCTGGTGATAGGCACAGGTCCATTCTGACTCACCTGGGAGAAGTTCACAGCAGCATGCAGTGCAGAACAGGAGTAGATGAACATGGTTAGAAACTTGGACACTTCTGCTTTGGTTTGAAACCACTGAGGGAAATCTGGAATATGACAGCAGCATATGTAAAACACATAGAAAAGAATCAGCATCTTATTATATTGCCCTGCTCCTGATGTTACCACTGCATTCTCTCATGAAATTATAGGATGTTGACTATGAACTGGACTCTTCAGAACTTCATAAGGAGCTAACCAGGCAATGTATTCCTTTAAAGCATGACTGTGAGCATCCAGGGGGTGTTAAAGGACCCACCTGAGTTCTGAGTAAAGCTGTGTGTCTTGATGTCCATTATCCAGTTCTGGAGCTCAGAGTCATTAAGGACATCTTCGTCTCCTCTGTAGTACAAGTTGATCCATCCGAGCACAAACCTGACATCAGAACCAACACAAAAATCTTAGAGGAGCAGAGAGGTCAAAGTTCCACACTCAGCCTAGGTGCGTTTGTATACCTGTGCAGTGTGTCCCAGATCCTCAGCGCATCCTGGGCGTAGAAGCTGTGAGGGAGTTGGTCCACGCCACGGTCAGACAGCTCATCGGGAACGCACATGGATCGATACCGAGTTGTGGCAGTTGCTCTTCTGAGGAGCTCTGGGATTGTCTTCAAACCAGAACCCACCGCCTGCAGGAACCAGAACCAAACTAAATGTGTTGGTTCTGATTGTTACAGTTGTATCCATGGTGAATAAATACCTCAACTAAAGAGCTCCAAAATTAATAAAATAAAATTAACAAAACATACATTTAAAACTCTTTTAAAGGCTCTCTGAATCCTTCATGATCCTTGTTGCTTAGATAAGCGGGTTCTGACAACTCCAATGGGGAATATGTCAAAGAATGATGGTGACGCAAATGGTTGAAATTAGCCGCTCCGGTTAGCATTGCCCTCGACATTAGAGGTCAAACTATTGGATGCATTTGCAACCTAACCTGCTTTGTCTTCCGTTGATGCAACTCTGTTATCTTCATGGCGCTGGTTCTGTTGCATGTTACCTCCTGCTTTGGTTGTGGTAGACCTACTTCTGTGGTGCTGGTCAGGCTACCTCTTTTTGAGCTAAATTATAATCTTTGTGATATCTCTGTTACTCTTACTGAACAGAAACCCTTAAACATTTATTCCACTTATGCACTTCTATTTTGGGCAATTGTCATGTTCATTTGGTTTTTACTTCTGGTGTTAAGGGATAGCTAGACTAACAATAGCTTAGCACTGCCATGGCTTCTCTCTCTCTCCCCTGACTCTTCTCCGACTCTCACTAAATCTCCCTCTCCTCTCTGCTGCTCTCTGTGCATGATGTACAGTTATTCCTCTGCCTACTTTAGCAATAACGGCTTAGTGACGAAGTACGAAGAAAGCCCAGTACTCGTTACTTTCCTTGCTTATCAACATATTAAATATTAAAGAATACTGACCAAGCTCTGGCTCCGGTCCATGTTGGTCCCCAGTTTTTACTTCCCTGAATTCTGTCACACTGTCAACATCATTATTGCTCACCCAGCGTGATGCTGTCATCAGACAAACAGTGGTGGGATATTGTGCAGCCGGCCAGCAGCCGGCCAGCTTTTTAGTCAAATTGGAAAACAGCCAGAACCCAATTGTTAGCGGGTCAACCTAGTTTTCAAAAACCCGGGTTTTCAGTGGGAAAGTGGCTATTGGAGAAAGACTTTAACAAACTAGCATTACATCAAGAGCATGTTCCAAAAACTTTTCCTCATTGCCCACTCCTTTAACAGCATACCTCTTTGCAGTGATAATTTCAGATGCCTCCTTGCAAACAGAACGGATTCTCATTATTTTACAAATGTTCTTGTCTTCTCACTACACCTTTCAAGCTTATAAAGCAATTTTTTGTATAGATCACTTATCAGCTGATCACTCCATTGGTGGCTCATCTGTTTAAAATAATTGTGGTCACAAACCTGGCGACACTAACGACTTTCATCCATCAATTTTCCATCACGCTTATCCCAAGCGGGGTCGCGAGGGGTGCTGGTGCCTATCTCCAGCTGTCTATGGGCGAGAGGAGGGGTACACCCTGGGCAGGTCACCAGTCAATCGCAGGGCAACACAGAGACAAACAACCATTCCCACACACACTCACACCTAAGGAGAATTCAGAAGCCAATTAACCTAACAGTCATGTTTTTGGACTTTGACAGAGAGCCGGAGTACCCAGAGAGAACTTACGCATGCAAACTCCATGCAAAAAGAATTGAACCCAGAATCTTCTTGCTGCAATGCAGTAGTGCTACCCACTGCATCACTGAGCAGCCCTCAATGTCGACAGTTATATTTAAATACAAGTATATACTTTTTTCTGTACTCTCAGCTAAAACACTGGTCAACAGAGAGGCTTGAGCTAAAATTTGACTCTGGAGGTGGTGAAGGGTTCTCAATGGGGCATTTACACGAGAAAAGGGATTAGTAAGTTGTGAAAGAGGGTTGGGTGGGACTAGAGCCTGATGAGAATTCTCATATCTGGGGGCAATGCAGTTTGAATTTAAATGGTTTGTCTCAAGAAGGTGAAGCAGCTTCTCAGGCAGCTATAGAACCTGAACTGGATTTGGATTTTTGTTTTCTAAAACCTGTTTCTGAAAGGGAAATTCAAATGACCAATCTGCAATGACTGCTTTCTGTAAGTAAAGATCAGATGTATTATATGACATTTTAGACTTTACGGTAAGTCCACTTCTCAGAAAAGACACGATAAAAACTTAAATAAAGAGCCAGTTTTCCTTTTTTTTTTTTTCTTTCAGTGCAAAAAATTTGGAAAAGTTCAGAATATGTTTTAAGTGCTTATTCTGGATCTAAATGTAAATTATTTGGTGTTTTTTGTGTTTGGTTTTAATGAATAAACAAACTGCCTGTATGTAGACTGACTCTTATTACACACATCATATAGCACCGTTGCAAGTCAAGGTTTACCTGATCAAACACTCCATTGGCAGCCAGCAGCGATGCCCTGGCCTGTATATTTATTTGCAGAGATGTTCTAATGTGAGGCATCAGTAGCTGGAGGGAAATCAGAGAGAAAAACAAGAACATTTGAGAAAACAAATTCATAGTTTCCATAAAGTGCCATTAATGCCAGAACCCAAATTTAGATTATTATTATCTAACCCTATTTTTTTTTACTGTTATTTGGTTCAGATATTCTTCAGAACCAGTATTGCTCCACTCAGAAAGAAGATTATTCTTTGGAGGAATCAATTCTTCGGGTATGTTTGCTTGTTTCTACCTGGTGCAGTGGATGATTCTCCGGAAGCTGCCGCAGGGTGGCCACACAGCATAGTTCTGCCATCATATGGGTCCGCATATAATGGGAGATCAACTGGTGACACTGGAAGTCTGCGCTATGGACCCACATCTTCGCCAGCACCCAATCACAGCTGGAGTCAGAGGGCAGGAAGACCGGATTCAGAGGACCAGGAGTCTGCTGGAGCTGAAGGAGAAGAATATTACAGATGTCATGTCAGCGTTAGTCACAATGGCAGGGTTTCCAACTTGTGTGAGATCTCACCTGGATGGCGATGGGCACCATCTGTCCCTTTGGGTTAAGGTGGAGGAGGCACAGTGGGGCGGAAAGGTACGTCTGCTTTCCATTGATCCTGTTACCTTCAAGCCCGTCCAAAACTTTATAGTCCAACAGGTAAATGTTTCCTTTCTGTCACATCAGAAGAATAAAGTTAAGATAATATCCCATAAGAGCCACGAATCAGAGAACTGCAAAGTTACCTGAAGCTCCACCTCAAGGGAGGATCCTGCAGGTAGGAATGGCCGGAGCATGTCAGAGTTGACGGCCAAGTTCGGAGGAATGAGGCGCGTGCGATGCAGAAGCAGAGGGTTACAGCCGTTCAGACACTGATAGCCAAAATACCAGTCCTCCTTCCAGTGATTCTTCACGAACCCTGACAATAATAAGACTTCCATTAGGCCTGCAGGAGACCGCTGGGCTGGATCCCAGAGCTTCAGTTACAGAGATGGACAGAAGAAAAATACAAAAACAGATACAAACACAACACCTAGCACTGATATAAAAGCTTTGATGACTCCAGAGAAATTAGAAATAATTACTCTGTTTAAATGTTCACTTGTCCATCTTCACTGACTGAGAAGAGCCCGACTGACCTCCTGATCTTAGTCCACAGAGTTTAACATGATATTGGTCCAACCTTAGCAGCTACAATTTTTTTAGCTGGTCTGGATGAGTCTTCCACAAAATTAGGAGTTCAAGCCGTTCTGTAAAGTCAGACACTGATGGTGGATGTAGAGACCTGTCTCACAGTGTCCCCTGTAATTCAATCCAAAAGTGTTCTAACAGGGGTCAGGGTCAAGTTCTCCAGCACCAAACAGAAAGGGATTATCCATCCCCAATCTGTACAAAGTTGTGAGCTTGAAATATCCAACTGTTGTTGGTACTTTGCTAGGAACAAAGGACTGAACTACAGTACACCATGACCCCCCACACCCCCACCCCAAAAACATGATAATTTATGTAGTGCAGTCAGAGAAGGGCTGTTCTAGGACCAGGACTCTCCCATTTGATCAGACTAAGAAGGTAGATTCAGTCTAGAACTTTCCTCTTCAATTCAGATTTCAATGGAAATGACTACATGGCTGACACTCCCATTTGCTTCAGACCTAGTTACTATCCGACTGACAGCTGGGGATGAATATTTGGTAGTGAGGACATTTCATGGTCAATGGTCAGGTGGCCTCCAATCATAGTACCAGAGTGGGATTTACTGACCCGTTTTTCCATTAACTCCTCCAGCAGTAGTCTGCATAACCTAGTGATGGAGTTTACTTGTCTGTTGTCATGGTAGAAGTTGGATCATCTGAATTGTAGGGCTTGGATGAACAACCCAGAAGTTTAGGCAACGTTTACAGCTTCAAAGAAACAAAAAGCTACAAAACCACGAAGACTCATCAAAACTCCTGAGCAAACAGCCTAAGACACATTTGTCTAACAACAGACACAGTTGAACTGGAAACATGTCAAACAGTTTTAACTACGTTATGAGTTAGTTTGTTGGCTTAACTGACTAAACCAAGACAGTTATGGTTGTGGTTCTTACTAGCAACATTGTTCTGATGTCCACTGTGGGCAAAGGCAGTCTCCAGCTCAGAGAAACTGGTCCAGGGCTCGGCTCGGCTTGCGAAGCCTTTCAGGTAGTGCATGTTGATGGTCGGACTGTGGACCAGGGTCAAGACATAGTAAGACAATTATCGACTGGTTTTGGACCGGCAAGAAGCACATTTTATGATGAGAAAAACTGCGTTTCACCTTTTGAATGAGTAGCTGAGGTTCGGCCCAAGTTCAGACACACTTTTGAGGTCAACACACTGAGGAGCACCTTCAACAAACTGGCCCCACCTGTCAATACCACCCCATAAAGAGCAAGAAGATAGTTCAGCTCAGATAGTTTGGTTCTGGTCAAAACACAGTTCTAGACAAAGCCTGGTTGTCAGGAAGATAATATGTATTCTTCTCAACGTGTCTTCGATACCTTTTAGGTCTAGGCTTCATTTTGTCACATTTCCTACTTTTGGAGCCAGAACATTGTTCTGTTGTTGTCTTTATCTTATCTGGGTTCAGTTTTCATGTTTGAACAATATATGTCAAACCAAACAGAAAACAGGGGAAATGATCAAGATTACCTCAGTGTCTCCTTTACCTGATGAGCTCCCGATAATGCTGCAGCTGTCTGCGTCGGTGTTCCTTCAGCTGCTCTTCAGTTTCTTCTGCCAACAAACACACTGAAGGAATGCCAGCAAAAAGTACCAGAAGTTCAAGAGTCAGTTCTTTTTGTTTCTGAGGTATGACTTGATTGTGTAAATATCGAACAGGGGGCACCATCAGGTCTATTATTACAAAAATAACCTCACATTTTCCGCTTCGCAGCTCCACGTCACCATCTGCTGTTCGCAGCCATTTGTCGCACAGGAACACCAGAGGTTCCTCAGACACTGGTTCCTTGACCTTGGTTCGCTGGCGGACCTCAACTCTATTGCAATGCCAGTCTATATTGGGGAATCCATTCTGAGCCTCCAGTCGGAGCCGAACCAGAACCACCTTATCAAGTTGACCACTGGACTGAACCAGGACCAAACACGTCTAAGAGAAAAACAAGAACAGTAGGATAAACCTTAAAAGTGCTGCTGCTTTTTAGACAGTCAGAGAGAAAGGGACTTTAGAGAAAATGGTTTTGCCCCATCAGTAAATCTTCTCTTGATCACTGTTGAAACTCACAGATCCGGGCAGCAGATGATGGTCGTTGTTCACTATGATGGGCGGAGTCTCGACTTGTGAACCAATCAGGCTGAGATATAGCCGGCTGTAGGTTCCGCAGGTGGGACCAGGTGATGTGTAAACAGTCACTTCAAACTCCTGACAGGAACCCATCCTGTCGAACATTATGGACACTGAGTTTCTAAAGACAGCGGATGATCAGGACATTCCCGACAACATTTCAGAGATCTTCTAAAAACTGTGGAACACACCCAGAGGCAATTTATTGAAGAGTTGCAAAACAATCAGAAACATAAATGATTTATGAAGGTAAACCAGAGTATCATCAACAAACTATCTGATGTGTCAAAACTATTTTATGGTTTAACCCCTTAAGCCCAGAGGCTCTGAGGAGCAAATCCCACCTGAAATTAAATATGTGAATTAAAGCAAGTACACCTGCAATAAATTTGAAATACAACTGTTTGTATTTTTATGACATAAAGGCATTAAGGAATATTTTTCAGGTGGAACCACTATTTTAAATGTCACCATGTCTGATTTATAGGTGATTAAACAAAGAAAAAATGAAAAATATTTAGCCTCACCAAGTTTTTTTTTTTTTTTTTGAAAACTGCAAAACACCATGAAATCCCATTTAAAACTCTGGACGAAACCTCAGACTTTATAGTTCCACATCTTGACTATAACTCAAGCAATTTTGGGCTGAATAAGTTGAAGCATGTTTGTTCCTCAAAGGTTTGGTGGGCAGTGTGGTAGGCAGAAATGCCAAAAGTTCAAAAATGCATTTTTTCACTCATAAGATGGAATCTGGTCAGACAACTGATATGCAGTAAGCTTATGTAACCCCCTTCTTGTTACATCACCTGAAATGATCACACAATTACCTCCGACCCCTCCGTGGAAAGGTCTGAGCCTTTAGTTTCCAATGATGTGTGGCTAAAAATGAATACCTGCTGTTGCATTACTCCCGCAGTGTCACACATGTCAGTTGGAATGATCTCATGTTATTTGTTTACACAGCTATAAAACTAAAAGTACTTGTGAAAAAATAATTTTGAAACAGGTTTTAGAAACTCAAAAGCCCCAATTAAAAGGCTGGATGAAACACCATGGGACTGTGTTTTGGCCATTTCTATAAATAGATAAATATAAGCAGGTGTCAGTTGATCACTGTTCCAGGCTCGCCAGGCTCAACGGGTTAAAGGGTGTGGTTAGAAAATGTATCTACAGTAAGCAATGTCTGTATATCAGCTGGTGGATTTGGGTAACAGGGCACCAACTGTTTCATCTAGTGCCCTAAAACAGGCTTGCTTTTCATGAAAAGTAGATTTTTGTTTGCAATATCAGCCTGTAGGTGCCTGAAAGCCTGTTTCTTTCATTTAATTATTTTATTTCTTCTCAGTGGCAGATTCAATATATGATTGGCCTGTTCAACTAGTATCTGATTACTCAAGGACTGTTTTGTCTCTTTGTTTAAGCAAACTGTTCTGAATGATACCTTTAGCCGTAATGGAGCCTTAATAGTTAGTAACATCTCTGGGTTCCTGTCTCCTCAACTTCTCCGTCTCAGCAAGACTGTTGGTGTGAGCAAAGTGTAGACAAGCTTTGTACCAATTCTTTGCACCTGGAGCTGTCTAATCTTATCCTATTAGCAAAGGTAGAGTTTATTTGATTGAGGAGTGTTGGAGGAATATTCCATTGAAAAGCTGCAAAATATCCAAAAGTCAGATGTTATGTGGGAGATAATGAAAAGGAGGAATTGGGAAGAACAAAAACTTGCCCATTAAGTGGTAGGCCAGTTAAAATCACAGAGTGGGATCAAGGTTGGCTGCATGTTGGGGCAGTTTGTAGCACAGTTACCTTCATTACCTAAGAAGGTCTTGGGTTTGAGTCCTGGCCTAGGGTCTTTCTGCATGGATTTTGTATGTTTTCCCAATAATGCATGGATTATTTCCTTGTACCCTGGCCTGCTCCCATAGTCCAAAAATATGACTGTTAAATAATTGCTGTGTTGTTGTTGCTCCGTGTTGCCCTGCAACAGACTGGCGACCTGCATATGGTTTACCCCGCCTTTGATCAGTAGACGGCTGGAGATGGGGACCTAGCCCCACTCCGACCCTGACAAAAAAGTGGAAGAAGATGGATGGATGGGGTCAGAGGTCAGCCACTTGCTGCAGAGTCAGCAGGAACTGACATAGTTTAGCCTTCAAATTAGCTCAGTGTTGCACAGGTGGCATCCAGTCATGGCACCCTGCTGTAGTTCTCCTCCGCAGAGGGATACCTTCCATTTTGGCTCTTCCGTCTATTCTTTGATCTTTGGCCATTTTTACCTCCGATTTGATGAGCTGAATGTGATCTATTTCGGTTCTTATATTTAAACAGATGAAAATAAATCTTTAGGCTGTTTAGAAACTGATCCAGAGTTTTTATTTATTTGCCATCTGACCTTATAGGGTTCCTGCTGCCTCTGATAAGCCTTCTTTTGTTTACCTCAATGATATTTGAATTGGAAATGAGCAACAGTTAATGTGGGTGTTCAGCAGATGCGTTCTGAGAAACAGAAAACACTGAACTCATTATAGTTTGTGGACACTTCCTCCTTGATATCATACCTAAATGTGAAGTTTCCAGCACCTTATGTGCAAATCACACACCAGGTTGACCCTCTGTTAGGGAGGATGATACAGTTTTCTGCTTAGATTCACTTCATATAACAACAACATCTATGGAACAAATAGACCAAAACAATATAAGGTGGTCTTCCTCCTTAGCATCAGGTAATGATTACATCCCACTCAGTGCTTGCAGGGTGTTTGAATACATGAATCCAAATTAAATTAGTTTAAATAAAAATACTTCAATATTAAATGTTGAATCTGAACATTAACCATTGTGGACATTCATGGTCTTCATATTAAGAGCAGTATACATGAACATAGAAAAGACAACTCATTGAAAATGTTCTTGAATGCGATATAGAGCATACTATAAAGAGACAACCAGGTGAACGTACCTCAGAGCCCTAGCTTCGTCGTTCTTCTCTCTGGTTTGCTGATGAGGTGTTTGGCACCTTCAACCACAAGCTGGTTTCTAGTGATTTCATACTCCGCCCACACCACCTACACATCATAGCAGAGAACAAAGGATCATAGCTCAGGGTCATATCAGGCCATTTATTGGATATATTGGGGGTACCTTTAGGTATACCACCTCCCCAAATGTTTGCAGAGTAAATTCACTCAAGGCAAGAAAATGTTCATAGATCTGAAGTAAGCCTTCAATACAAATTAATCAAATGGCAATAGGAAAACTTGTGAAAATGGCATGCCAGGAGCTTCACCTAACTGGTTCTAATAGGGAACAGTATATACAGTTCGGGAAATTCTCACCATGAAGACGGTACATCAGTTGGTGTGCCCCAAGGATCAATTTTGAACCCTAAAAAGTTTTCATTATATTGGAAAAACCTTTGTCATTGCTCAGCAAAATTTGAGACACTACAATAGTCTGCTTAGGTAAAAATCTACAGCTTCTGATGACTGAAAACTTAACAAAATTAAACTAGTTGACAATAATGGATTATCAATGAACAGTTCTTTAATTAAAATGATGATTTTTGGCAAATAACCTCAAGACTCTCAATTTAATGTTAAAATAAATACTAATAATATTGAGATAGTTAATGAGCATTTCTCGGGGTGAATTTAGGTCCTGATGTAAGCTGGAAATCAAGAGATAGCAAATGTTCAGGTCAGGGTTCTTTAACATTTTCTAGGCCAAGGACCCCTAAACTGATGGTGAGACGGAGCTGGGACCCTCTAATTATATATTTTGTATGAAATTGTGTAATATCAAAGTGGTCTAATAGTTACTCTATTACAGATGGAGTAATGTAAAGAAAACAATTCGCCCTGGGATTATAAAAGTATTTCTGATTCCTGGTTGATGGGACAGGTGTTGTGAATGAAACGGTGCCCAGCTTGAAAGAGCTCCTCTGTGTGCATTGATGACTGAAAGACATCTAATGTCTCTATTTATCTGTTTACTACTGTGTGTTGAATTCATGTTAATGTGGATTTAAAGACATTTCAATTAGTGGAAAAAATTGCAAGGGGGTGTAGATATTATAAATAAGTAATCTGGACCATATGGCAACACGTTGATTGGTGACTACTACGTGCAAGCTCAGACACATGGTTCCATAGTGTAGCGGTTATCACGTCTGCTTTACACGCAGAAGGTCCTGGGTTCGAGCCCCAGTGGAACCAACTTTCTTTCTTCTATCATTCACTGTTTTCTATTTTTACCATCTAATAGAAGAATAGACATGAAAATAAACTACCCTAGAGTTGTCCTGTTGTTGTATTTCAAAAACAGAAAATGAAACAACAAAACGAAATGGAGATGCCGGGGATTGAACCCGGGACCTCATACATGCGAAGCATGCGCTCTACCACTGAGCTACATCCCCACCATACTCCGTTAAGCAGGAAGTATGTATTTTTAAATGGTACTCAGTAATTTTGACGTAATTGTTCAATGTTGATAGTGTAGTACAAGAAATAATAATGTCAACGTAACTACATACAGTTAAGTAGATACCAAAAACCCGTGGGAAAAGCTATGTAAAGCCACACGTGACGCGCGTGTTTCGTAAAAAAGTCATGAAATAAAGGCCGTTTCACAACACCGTAAAATACGGAAAAATCCAATTACTACTGAATTACACCGCAAAACTCCCCCCAAAACGATCGGGTTAAACCCAGATCTGTTTAGATTCTCCTCACACGTTAACTATGGAAAATATGTTAAAGGTCAAATCTTTTATCAGAGAGAAACAATTAATATCTGTCCTGTGTTCCTTACATGTGTTGAATGAACATCTCTAAAACAGTGGTGTCCGAATTCAGTTATAAGGCCTGCTGTCTTCCATGTTGAAATTGATTTTAAAGAAAGAAAAAAAGCAACAGTAGAGTACACAGCTTAGCTGTGCCAAAAGTTGGTATTTTTATTTTGGGTCAAATTATGAACATGGATCATTTAGAAAGGTTTTTCTGTAGACCAGCTAATGTGCGAGTGCCATCTGGTGGAGGAATAATGTATTACATATGGGCATGCTTGCCAACTCTCCTGATTTTACTGTTATCTCGCGCTGAGTCAGTAATTCCTCCCCGATTGTTCAGTAAAGGAATAAGTAAGATTGTGGAGGATATATACATGGACATAATGGACACAGTGTCGACCAAATGTACCAGGGGCCAGGAGGGGGCCAGCGTGTTTTCATGAGGGCACAGAAAAGCATGAAATAAAAAATAGGGCAAAGGATTCAAATAAGATAGCTGCATGAAGTGAAATTTCTATTCAATTAGGTTTAATTAAAATTATAGGTCTTATTAGGTCAACATACAATCATAATTTAAGATTTTTGCATATTTTCAATTAATTTAGGTTAAAATAACAGTTTTTATAAAATCTGAATTAGCACTCAAGAAAAACTGTTAAATTCAGCTGTAAACATTAGAGGCTTTTTTTATTTGTTTTGGAAAAAAAACATTTAACAGATGAAAACTGGGATCCTATCTCAATACCACTGAAGCTATCACCCTATTGTATTAGTAAAACAGAGTTTGTAAAGAAAAAAAATGAAATAGATCCAAAGGACCAATCAGTAACCATGTCTGTTCCAGCACTTATAATCATTACAATTTCTTTGAACATTATGTCTTCAGTAGAGGGGCCAAAAAAGGGGTCTACAGGGGCACTGGCCCCCATTGGCCCCTGTCTAGAACCGCCCATGCTGTCTGAGCATTGGGAAGTCTACCAAACCAGCAGCATCAAGCCATAAACTTTGCTGTTTTTTTTCCAAACTGTTTAAGTTGTGTAACGTTGTTTGCAAATTAGATGTATAAGTTAAATGATAACAAGGTCAAATATGCCAAAAATATCACTACACTAAGCTAGTTAACTGCAAACTTGCAGGTTTGCTTATTTTTTTTATATAAATCCAAATATCTTTAATTTCTTGACAGAGCCTTGATTTATTTTATCATTTAAAAACATCTGAGTTGTATTTGCACCAGCAGTATTATTTGCGTATTAGACTGTAGTTTATTCATGATCAGATCCTAAAACAAAGTGGTGGAATTAAACATATTTGGGAAGATGATTAAAGGGACAGAATGGGTCCATGTTCATATAAAATAAGTTAATTAAAGACATTAGAAAATCTGTCAAATGAGTCTATTTATGATTTAAAATAGTTTGCTGTCAGTGCTTGAAATCTCACTCCAAGCTCAGATCAAAAGTTGAGAGCCCTGGTCATAATGTTCTAAATGATTTTTAATGCCATGTTGGCCATTTCAAGACCTATTTTCGCAGATCACAGGATAAGTCTGGTCATATTCAGAATTTAAACTTCTGAAATTATTTTAAATATGAAATGATTACATACTTTTCAATAAATTATAAGTTTTTTTGAATTCAGAGTAGTTTTCATTTAAATGTGCTTTACTGAAAGCATCCATGTTTGTCAAAGAACACTAGTGCCACCTACAGGTTTGTGACGTCATGGTGCGGTATTGGTATTAAGTTATGACGAAAAATATTTATTTTAATCTTTTCTACAGAAAATAGAAATAATTTCTAATTTTATGAGAATTAGTGCGAATACACATATGTCCACTAGGTGGCAGTCTTGGTCTGTGTATTTCTACCTCTCACCGTACATGTAAACTCAAACAGCTTTGTTCCGTTTTAAATCGACCAGGTTCTTTTTACTTTTGAAAACCTTGAAGCCAGTTAAAGCATTGTCAAGCCTCATTTAAATCATAGGCAAAATTAGCAGTCAACTAACTTGAAAAATGTTGCCAACTTTTTACTTTTTGGCCTTGTTAGGAATGTGTTCGGACCTTGTTCGGACCACGTTTGAAGTGGTTCTGACTTGTTCGGATCTTCGTGTGAAGCTTTTGTAATGTGGCTAGGCTCTTTTTACTTTTGAAAAGCTTGAAGCCAGTTAAAGCATTGTCAAGCCTCATTTAAATCATAGACAAAATTAGCAGTCAACGTACTTGAGAAATGGTGCCAACTTTTTACTTTTTGACCTTTTTTAAGAATGTGTTCGGACCAAGTTTAAAGTGGTTCGGACTTGTTCGGAACTTCGTTCGAAGCTTTTGTAGTGTGTTCGGACTTCAGAGGCCGTCCAATCGGGTGACGTTTGAAGCTGGTTCGGATTTTTTTGTAATATGTTAGGGCGTCAGTGGTCGTCTAGTTACTATCGGATAAATATTTCAATTGAATGTACGATTCGCGGCTGTGAGGTAGTCGAATTTAATGCTAATTGTTAAATAGTTCTATAGAGCTGCGATGGCCGAGTGGTTAAGGCGTTGGACTTGAAATCCAATGGGGTCTCCCCGCGCAGGTTCGAACCCTGCTCGCAGCGGTGTGATGAAATTTTTTTTTTTTGTGCTTGTTCTAAGTGTTGGATATAATCTTGTCAATTGCTCACGATGGTGGTGAGAGGGTTACAACTATAAATGCAAGGAACATATGGAGTGAATGTTCTGCCAAAAAGTTGCATCACATCTTATAGTCTGGTGGTAACTAGTGTGAACTGATAGGAATGACTGGGATGTTATGGTGAGTGTTAGGAACTGTTAGGAATTCATAAATCTTTGTTGTAATTTTTTACCTTTTGTAACCTTTTGATGTGTCTACTTTCATGTTTTTATGGTTTATTAGGTTTGCAATCACATCCCTTAATTTTCTGCTGTGAAACCCATAAAGTTATATTCTGCTCTACCCTTTCTTGAACTGAGAAAATAAATATATAAAATAAAATTTACACAAGATTTAAAACTGCTATAAAGATGCACTGAAGAGTATCATTTACATTGAATGTCAATGTAATTTTTATTGTAAAATTTCTACAAAGGAAAATTATCAGAACATGAAAAAGTTAAATATACAGCAACTTTAAACTTTACATTTACATCCTATCTAAATGACAACAGTTTAATTAAAAACAATCAAATATATGTATCAATGTACACATGAATAGAAAATAGGTTTAGGATTGTGAAAATATATTTCTACGTATAAGATTTCACTATAACTT